GAGAAAATTGGATAAAACTTAAAAATAAAGCTGAATATCCTTCTCGTGGGAAGGGAATGCTGCATGTTCATTTAAAAGAGGAATGGAATTCTGACAATTTTCTGCTGTGTGTTAACCTGCATTGTTTTGCTTTGTATGCACGAAATCCTAAGTCTTGACATATAAGCAGTATGCTCATATTTCTAATTCTGCTTACAGATCTTTTCCTTAACCTTATCGTTCATTGCAGAGTAACTGGGAAGTGGTAATACCACAAAATTTCCCACTGGTCACTTTATAAGTGACATTGATTATCTTAATTCACTAATTTCAAGTGCTAGACATAAAAATGGTTTAAAATTTTTCTTAGTTTTTTTTTGCGCTGTATGACATAATTTTTAAAGAGGCACAGACTAGGAGTGTCTATTACTATTCTGGGAAAGACCAGATTGAAGCAAAGAGTTCCAACTTCAATGTTGATTTGACTGTACACAAATCCAATTCTCTCAAAATATATTTTGTTCAGTTTTCAAAGACAGCATTACAAACTACTGAATAAGCCAATTTTAAAATGAATAAATGAATATTCTGTTCACCCTTTTCAAATATTGTCAATGAAATGAAAATAATAAGCAATATTTTCAATTACCATCCTCCCAGACCGCAAAACACATCACAACAGACCTACTAAAAAAAAAACTTTGCCTTGAAATGCTATTGTTCGTAATGCTGAGCAAAGCTTCAGTCTAGTATTCCAAATTGCATTTGGTTTTTACTTACAGGATAGATGAACAAAGCAATCAAATTCCAGTTCAGACAGTAGTCCTTGAAAATCAGTCTCGGACCTTAGAGAATATGAAAGCACAATACCTTGCCGTAAATGGTATTCGTAAAGTATCTTGTGTGGTAAGTTCTTTCAAAAAACTAGTACATCTATTTCAACCTGACTTTCTGTAGCCTTAAAGGCTTGGTATGTTTTTCCCTGCAGCCTGATCCAGCCCTACAATCTTTTGAAATGTGCTTTCTTCCGATTCAAGGCATTTGCATTTTTCTGATTTTAATCCTGGCACGAATACTGGCTGTGCCTTCATGTGCCGAGGACCAAAGCTCTGGAATTCTCTCTCTAAACCTCTGTGGGTGTCTCCCTCTCGCCTCCTTTAGAACTAAATAAATTGATTAAGCTTTTTGTTATCTGCCCTTGTATCTCGTGTGACCTAGTGTCAAATTTTGTTTGATACCATTGCATCAAGGATCCCTAGCAAAACTATTCCCAGCAGGAAAATCAAGGACAAAATTCTCTGGAGTCATTCCTAGTGCAAAGAATAATGGTTGTAGTTGTTGGAGGTCAGTTATCTAAGTTCCAGGACATCACTGCACAAGTTCCTCAGGCTAGTGTCTAAGGCCCATACATATTTATCTGCCTCATCAGTGACCTTTCTTCCATCATAGGGTCAGAATTGGGGACGTTCACTGATGATTGCACAATGTGCAGTACTATTCACAACTCCTTGGTTACAGAAACAGTCCATGTCCAAATGCAGCAAGACATTGACAATAGCCAGGTTTAGGCTGACAAGTGACAAGTAACATTTATGTCACTCACTGTCAGGTAATGACCATCACCAAAAAGAGAAAACCACCCTTTGACAATCAGTGGCATTAACATGAACATTATCAACATTCTGAGGGCTGACTGGAAACTGAACTGGACAAGCCATTTAAATACCGTGACCATAGATGCAGGTCAGAATCTAGAAAGCCGAAGGCGAATAATATTCCTGCTGATTCCCCAAAGCCTACCACCAGCTGCAAGACAAAAGTCAAGGATGTGACAGAATACACCTCACTTTCCTGAGTGCACTTCTAATGGCATTTGATGCATAACACCATTCAGGACAAAGCAACCCACAAGATTGGCACCTCATAGAGTCATAAAGATCTGCAGCACAGAAACAGGCCATTTGGCCTATCATGGCTGTGCCAGTCAAAAACAACCACCTAAAAATTCTAACGCCATTTTCCAGCACTTGGCCCATATACCTGTATGCCTTGGTATCGCAAGTACACACCCAAATACTACTAAAATGTTATGAGGGTTTCTGCCGCTACCAGACTTACAGGCAATGAGTTCTGCATTCCCACCATCCTCTGGATGAAACCAATCTCCTCAACTTTCTGCCCCTTACTGTAGTTCTATGGCCTGGTCAATGATCCCTCTACCAAAGGTAAAAGTTTCTCCTGTCTGCCATATCTATTCCCCTTATAATTTTATACATCCCAATCATGTCCCCTCTCCACATCCTCTGCTGTAAGGAAAAAAATCTTAAGTCTATCCAATCTTTTTGCAGAACTAAAACTCTCCAATCCAGACAACGTCTTGGCAAATCGCCTCTGCACCCTCCAGCTTGACCACATCCCTTCTATGAGGTGGTTTCCAGAACTTCACACAATACTCTACCTGTGTCCAAACTAATGTTTTATACAGTTCCAACATAACCTCCCTGCTCTTATTCTCTACACCTTAACTAATAAAGACAAGTATACCATGTGTCTCCTTAACCACTGTACACCTGTCCTGAGACCTTAAGGGACTGGTTTACATGTTCACCAATGTCCCTCTGATCCTTGGTGCTTCCTGGGGTCCTATTGTTCATTATGTATTCCCTTGCCTTGTTTGTCCTGCCCAAACATCACCTCACATTTATCCTGCTTGAATTCCATTTGCCTCTGATCAGCCCATTTGACCAACCCATTGATGTCTAAAGCTATCATCTTCACTACTTAGCACCCCACCAATTTTTGTATCAGCTGTGAATTTACTGATCATCGCTCCTACATTTGTCTGAATCATTTATAGAAATCACAAACAGAAAGGTCCCAACACTGACATCTGTGGGACCTCACTGAGCACAGACTTCTAGTCAGAAAAACGACCTTCAGCCATCACTCTCTGCTTCCTACACTCAGCCAATTGTGGATCCAATTTGCCAAATTTTATTTGATCCTGTTGGTTCTTACCTTTGCTGTCAGTCTCCCTTGCCGCACCTTATCAAAAGACTTGAGTTCCAAGTGGACTGCATCAAAAACATTGCCCCAATCTATGCATCTGGTCACCTCTTTGAAAAATTCAATCCAGTTGGTCAGACATGACCCTTTAACAAAACCATGCTGAATGTTTTGATTAATCCCTCCCTCTCTGAAAGCAGATAACTGTTTCTCAGAATTGCTTTCAGTAGTTTCCCACCACTGAGTTTGGATAGATAGGCCTGTAATTTCCTGGTTTATTCCTTGCTGCCATCTTGAATAACAAATTGACTGTCCTCCAGTCCTCGGGCACTTCTGTGGCCAGAGAGGAATTGAACATTTTTGCAAGCACTCCCTGCTACTTGCCGTCTTGCCTCACTCAACAACTACAGATATGTTTCATCTGGTTCTGGAGATTTATCTATTTTTAAGCCTGCTATACCACTCAGAACCTCCTCTTTGTCCATGCTAATTTCTTTAATTATGTCACAGACCTTCTCCTTGATTTCTGTATCCATATTGTCCCTCTCACTGAACACTGACTCAAAGTATTCATAGACCCTGCCTACATCCTCTGGCTCCATGCACAAATTACTGCTATGGTATTTCGTGGGCTCCACTCTTTCCCTCATTACCCTTTTATCTTTAGTGTACCTGTAAATAATTTCGGATTTTCCTTTAGTTTACCTGCCAGTATCCTTTTGGCTCTTCTAATCTCCTTTTTAAGTTTCGTCTTGCGCATTCTATACTCCTGTAGGTCTTCTTTTTTTTTAAACTCTTAATCTCCCATAGGTGTCCCTTTTCTCTTAATTAATATGATGTATATCACTTGATATCCAGGGTTCATAGAATTTGATGATCCAATCCTTAATCTGTATTGGAACATGTTGGACCTGTCCTCTCCCTATTTTGTTCTTGAATGCATCCCACATTCCTGATACGGATTTACCTGAAAGTATCTGCTCTCTGTCCACTCTGGCCAAATCACATCTTATTAAAATCAGCCTTCCTCCAATTGAGGAATTTGATTTCAGGCCCATCCTTGGTCTTTCCATAACAATCTTGAATCTAACAGAGTTATGATCTCAATCTGCAAAATGCTCTTCTACTGATACTTCAACCACTTGCCCAGCTTCGTTATCTAAAATTAAGTGCAGGACTACACTCCCTCCCTTGTAGGGCCTTCCATCACCTCGACCATTCACTTTCTGTATCGCTGATGCACAGTGACAGTAATATGTATCAGTTACAAGATGCACAGCAGCAATTCACCACAGCTCTTTCAACTGTACCTTTCAAACCTGTGACCTCTATCACCTAGAAGGACGCAGGCAACAGATGCATGGGAACACACCACCTGCAAGGTTCCCTCCAAGTCGCACACCATTTTAACCTGGAACTATTGGCTATTCCTTCACTGTCACTGCACCAATATTATTAAGGGTGTACCTGCCCCTCCTTGGCTCAGTATGCAGCTGACCACCACCACTTTCTCCACCAGTTTGAGGTGATAGGTATTAGGGATATGTACTAAATGTTGGCTTAGCCAGCAGCATCCACAATCGTGAACAAATAAAAAAGAACTTGTCAAATGGCCAACTCACTTTCTGCAGCAGGAAGGTAAAGTGATAAATTCAGTGTCAAATCAGATGTAGAAAGAGAAATATAAAACTAGAAATAAAGATGGGATAAAGAGAGAATAAAAGATAAAGCAAAAACAAGAAAATCCATTTAATATTAGACAACTTCGAAATCCACCTGAAAAATTCACAATTTGAAGTAAAATCCCACATTGGGTAATAGTTAATATATCAGACAAGAGGTTGGTAATAATTAACAATTATCATACCATTAAAAGTGTACTTACAGCTACTAGTTACTATTTTCAAATATTAGTAGTGCATTAAGTTCACATCGAGCATTTAGATGTCATGAAGTAGCTGTTTTCAATACATTTCAGTGATAAGGGACACAATGAAATGTTGTTTTCACAAAGCTCCCAGAGCAGCTTTGAATATACACAGCTTGCCTGTATATCATTTGGTATATCATTTACTGTTATTTTGGCAGCAAATTCTTACTTATCAGGAACCTGGACTGACATTTCTATTTTTTTGCTGCCTAACCTCACATTGTGCCAGTTCTATTATGTACCTAAATATTTATTGAAAATAAAAGCATTTGGATAAAGCCTCATCAGTTTTTTTGATTTTCTAAACTAGGTGCATTAACATATTTTAACATAATTCCACAGCTCAGTTCAAACTTGCGACATGTACGTGTTTTTGAAATGGATGTAGAAGATGATGGGGAGGTGGATGAAGAGGAGGAGGAGGAGGAGCCAGAGTCTCAAAATGTTGGTGAGACTAAAGAAGAGATGAAAGAGACTGTGAATGTGCAAGATGATTCTGATGTCAATGCTGTAGCCAGCATTGAGAAGCCTGTACTGCTTGAGGATGATGCTTCCAGCCTGGAATCCATACCTGGAACCTGGAGTTAGTTTGTGATATGTAAACTGCAGTCATGAAACAGGATTTCCTAGTACTAGTCTAGTTTATTTTTGTGGAGAGTAAGTACCTATTGGCAGCGTTTTGCGCTCCCAAGTCAACTGCAACAGTAACTGCATGGTAAATCTCTCTTAAAAACTAAACAAAGGTTTCATTCACTTAGCTTTAGTGAAGTTGTCGACACACATTGGAAATTATACTGAATCTGTAATGGCTGGTGCAATTTGCTGTGAATGCTATTTGTACAAATTACATTACATTGCATGTGCTGTGAAAATCAGAACAATGTTTGAAAACATTAGCACACTAGCTAACAATAGACTCGACCCTCTAGTCTTATTTGAATACACTCCCACTGATAAGTTTGCACAAATTGAGCCCTTGTTTCTACAGGATGTAAAACCAGCCCAAACTCTCAACTGTTCATTTAAGAGGCCAAAGTATGAGAATGGGAACTTAATATATTGCAATGAGATGACAGAGGGCACTGCTGAGGTTTGGGGTGAAGCACACTAGGAATGCTTTCATATGTATGCTCATTGTAATGAGATTGTAAGCCTGCTGTTTGTGAATTCGTTGACAACTTCACTAAAACTAAATGAATGAAACCTTTGTTCAGTTTTCAGAGACATTTACCATGCAGTTACTATTGCAGTTGACTTGGGAGTGCAAAACACTGACATTGGGTACTTACACTCCACTAATATCTTAAGCTGAACAAACGCAACTACGTATAAGCGGGAAGTTCTGATTAATTTTTCTGTTGCTGAGATTTTGATATATTATTTACATTATTTTCTGTGTGATAGTGTAAAATCTTTAATTAAAATAGAATGTAAAAACAGTTAACTTTGCCTTGAATTATGTTGCCTTGTGCATGATTTAATAGAACTTTGTACGTTACTGGAAGTATTTGTAACATTATTACACTTTGAGAAGTAATTTATTCTGAGTAGTAGCAATATTCTCAGGATTTTACCTAATTTACTTCAGTTTGTTCATATTTAATTGAAAATGCTTTTCAAATGAAAGCTTGTCTCATCCTGAATACAATTTTATTTTATCTTTTGTCATATCAAATGAGTTGATCTTGGATGTTGACTGCTTCATTGCTAAAATTCAGGACTGACATCATATCTTTAAGTTCTACATATCTTTAAATGTGTGAATGCATGTAAAGCTGGGTTTTATGCTAAAGAGCAAGCACATGATTTTGAATTTGTACGAGACTCGCCACAATTGGAATTGGTGTGTCGATCTGGGCATCCTATTAAAAGGATATTAGAGACATTAGAATCAAGAATGTACACTTTCCTAAAATTCACCAAACATGGGAAGTACAGATTTTTTAAAAATGTTTCAAAAAATGGAAAAGTTGAAGAATTATATGTTTGATATGAAAAAAGATTGCATCTATTGATGCTCTACATGAGAGAGATTTCCAGGAGACATTTGACAGATGCCTTTATCAAAGGTTGTTGTGGAAAATAAAAGCTCATGGTGTACTTGCTAATATATTAGCATGGGTAGAAGATTGTTTGGCAGGCAGAAAGCAAAAAGTAAGAATAAATGAGACTCTTGTCTGATTTGCAGGTTAAGGAAAGATGTTAGGTGATTGAAGGCAGTTCAGAGATGGTTCACCAGGATGATCCCTGGTATGGAGGCATTGTCTTATGAGCAAAGGTTAAACAAGTTGGTATTCTACTCATTGGACTTTGGAAGAATGGAAAGTGATCTCATTGATACACAGAGGATTCTTAAGGGGCTTGAGAGGGTAAATGCTAAGAGGATGTTTCCTCTTGTGGGAAAAACTAGAACCAGGGCATGGTCTCAGAGTAAAGGAGTGCCGATTTAAGACTGAGATGAGGAGGAATTTCTTCTCTGAGGAACAAAATCAAAGTTGCTGGAAAAGCTCAGCAGGTCTGACAGCATCTGTGAAGGAAAAAACAGAGTTAATGTTTCGGGTGCGGTGACCCTTCCTCAAAACCGGTTGAGAGTCTTTGGAACTCCTTGCCACAGAGAGCTGTGGGGGCAGAGTCCTTGTGTATATTTAAGGCTGAGATGGATTATTGATCAGATGGGAATAAAGCAGGAAAGTGGACATGAGGAATGTCGGATCAGCCATGATCTAATTGAGTGGTGGAGCAGGCTCAAGGGGGCCAATGGCCTACTCCTGTTCCTATTTTTTATGACGTGTGGAATCCATAGGAGTTTGTGCTTTGGCTTCAACTTTATAACATTTACATCAGTTACTTCGATGAGGGAAGCAACAACATAAAAGCTAAATTCTCAGGTGACACCAAGATAGCTAGGAAATTATGTTGTGAAGATGATGTAAGGAAGATACAGATGGATATAGATAGTTTGGGTGAGTGTGCAAAAGTCCCAGATGGAGAATAATATGAGAAAAATATGAAGTTTTTAATCTTTGGCAGAAAGAATAAAAAAGCAAAATATTAAATGGAGATCGTCTGCAGGAACCTTGACAAGATCTTTGTATCCTTGCTAGTGACTGGAGAGGTTCCGGAGGACTGACGAGTAGCTAATATTGGTTCCTGACAAAGAGATGAAGATTGGACTTTGTCATTCTCTACAGATCAACTAGTTAAACCTGTAAGCATCTTGTGCAACTGGATGCTGAGTGATGTGTGATGTTGTTCCACGCACCTGCTACCTGAAGCCAAAACAGCAAGTATCCTGATTCTATTCGGGAGGCAGAATGCTCGATTCAGCACTGTAGCACCTGACTCTGCAGAACAAGCAAAAAATTCTTTTGTTTTCCAAACATTGGCTTTATTGGAATTTACCCGTAACTGTTCCATTTGAATTTGTTTGAAAAGAACTCCAAATGAATTTTGTTAAAGTCTTTACTACTCCCATATGTGCCAGTTCCAAAGAAGTCATATTCAGTTAAAAATAATAACTCTCTTACTGTCCATTGATGCTACCACAGACCTGCTGAGTATTTCTAGAACTGTTTCTATTTCAAAGTCTTGTAACCTCTCTGTTTCCTTGGTTTTATATTCTGCTGGATTACTGACTCATTAGGCAGTGGACATCATTTATCTCAATTTTACTTCCTTAGCATCTCTCAAAAGTTTGAGCATAACTTCTTTTCATTTCTCAAATACAAGGGGTCCCAAATTCTTTAAAAGTTTTAATTTGAGGAATGATTAATGTCTGCTCACATATTGAATCACTTTTGCACATCTTCAACACTTTCATATCTATTTTAAAGTTGCATAGATCTCAGTTGGTTTGTATTCAAATGCATTTTTGAGTACAATGTTCCGACAAAAATTTTGTTCTTGGTCACCTTTATTCATTAGACGATATGCACATGCTGCATATATTTCTAATAAAACTTTACTGAGTGTGTTTGCAGTTGTTTGATATCACCTCAAGTAAGTAATCGTGATGGATTGATCGAGGCTCCATCCCATACTGGATTACGTCTGCCTTGTTTCAGCCAAAATGTGGAGATTACTTGTCATTTGTAACTGCCAGAATGAAGGTTAAACAAAATGTAAAAGTCGGTATGGAATTAGTCAATACCAGAAATATTATAAACACCCATAGGCAGATAGGCATTTTATATGCAATTAGGAGAGCATATTGGAGCCAAGTTTCAAAGCTGTTATCAGGAACATTTCAAATGAAAGAAATTCAGAATTATTGGTTTTAATGCCTAAGAACACTCCTGTTTCTTGGATTTGTAGAAGGTCACCAGCTGAGCTTCAAACAGGAGAGCTTTGTTCTTGAGCAGTGGATTTTAATGAGGGAGATTTGCTTATCAAGTTATGCAACCTCAGCCGCATCGGCTGTTGAGAGTCTACTTTGATATTTTACTTGTATAGAGTTTCAGTACACTGCTGTTGGTTTCATAGATTGGAGTTATGATCTCTGTTACATTAAACAGACTGGATAAGAGTCCTAGAACATCAAAAAGTTCAGACAAGTGAAAGGTTACCATCGAGTCAAAACTAATAAAGTTAAAGTTATAGCAAAAAAAAATTGGATATATTATTGTTTTGCAAAACTTTCTGATCATTCTGACTGTTGACTTGAAAAGGCAGACTGACAAGAACATGGATTCTGCTCTCAGTTTTTATACATTTGCCTGCTTTTCGTATGTTTCTTCGTTGGAAACCCCATTGGTGACATATTCAACTCCATGCCCACAAGATCTGAATGGCTGCATGACACAAAATATATCTGTTCTGGACTTCAGTGGCCCCAGACTTGGAAGAAACTATCAGGACTGCCTGAAGAACTACAACCAATTACAGGTGAAAATCTAGAATTTTTATTCTTAACTGATGAGTTTTTTTTTCAAAGTAGACTGAAGAAAAGATGTTTGAGGTATAAGGAGAGGCTGGAACTTTTTTCACCTGAGCATAGGAATTTGAAGGGTTACCTTATAGAGGTTTATAAAATCATGAGGGGTATAGGTAAGGTGAATGGTAGGTGGGTTTTTTTCCCTAGGATGGGAGATTTCAAGACAAGTGGGCATATTTTTACGGTGAGAAGAAAAATATTTATAAAGGACATGGGGGGGGGGGGGCAACTTCTTTTACAGAGTGGTTCATGTGTGGCATGAACTTCCAGAGAAAGTGGTGGATGCAGGAACAGTTACAATGTTTATAAGACATTTGGATAAGTACATGAATAAGGAATGTTTGGAAGGATATGGGCCAAGCACAGGCAGATGGGACTAGTTTAGTTTGGGATTATGGTCGGCATGGACTGGTTGGACCAAAGGGTCTGCTTCCCTGCTCTATGACCTCTTCCTTTAAAGCAAATTGAGTTATTTTTAATGTGTTCTTCTGTAATTTTAATTTAAGGAAATTAAGTGACATCGGACATGTGTTTAGAATACCAGAGATAACAAGGTGTAGAGCTGGATGAACACAACAGGCCAAGCAGCATCAGAGGAGCAGGAAAGCTGACGTTTCCGGTCTGGACCCTTCTTCAGAAACCATTTGTATTCTTCTAAATTCAAGGCCGGAGGCATTTACAATAAACAAGATACTTTTGACAAAATATTAGTTGTTACTTAGTAAGACAAATATGTACTACTGACTAGCTGTGTTCAGAATATGATCCTTTTTCCAGAAACACAGTCACACAGTGGTTATTTCTGCTGCCTCACAGCGCTGGGGACCCAGGTTCAATTCCACCCTCGGGTGACAGTCTATGTAGAGTTTGAACATTCTCCCCACATCTGCATGGGTTTCCTCCCACGGTTCAAAGATGTGCAGGTTAGGTGGATTGGCCATGCTAAATTGCCCATAGTGTCGAAGGATGTGCAGGTGGATTCGCCGTGGGAAATGCAGGGTAGGGTAGAGGGAGGTGAGTCTGGGTGGGATGGTCTTTAGAGGGTCAGTGTGGACTCAATGGGCTGAATGGCCTGCTTTCTACACTGTAGAGATTCGTTGATCTTATTCAAGGAACAAAATGTGTCATCTTTTTGAACCATGTAAATGTCACTCTATCTGTATTCTGAAGTTTAAATCTAAACTCCTTGCTCTGTTCAAAATGAAGTGTCAATTTAACTACTCAAAAACCCAATATACGTCTTTTTTTTCAATTTCTAGAAGATATAGCTGTTCTTTGGTGCTCATTATTTTAATAGCTGCATCTTCTGTTTAAAACAAATAGGACAATGCACCTATAAAGCTTGGGGACTACAGGAAGAATTTCATGTAAAGAGGTTTGGAGATAATTTGTTGTCAAATGGATTTTCCACAGAATAAAAATTGAGGTTAAATTGCAGTGAAATTTTTAACTTGCACTTTAGAATTGGCAAACTTAAAGTTAGTAAGTAAACATGTATGTAAATATTACTAGTGTATCAAATTTTCCAAGCCTAACAATTAACACAGGTCAATGTGACTTACAAGAGTTGGTATTCACTGTAACATGTGAGTTTGTGTGCCGAGAACATTTAACAGAAATTTTTGGGCCAGAGGGCTATTCTCAATACAGAAATAAACATTTGTGCCATCACAGTCATCAGGTAACACCAGGTTTCCCTCGTATAGTCAGTATTTATCTGACTGTTCGTAGGAATGGTAATAAATGACTGCAACAACATTGCATTACGTAATCCTCACAGCAAAATCATAAATAACCCACACAGTTCTCCTGAGCAACAAAGAGTGATGCTGAGTTTGAAACATTGATCAAATTTATAATTAACATCAAATAACTTTGTTTACTGTTTGGTTCCAGGTGCTACTTCTGAATAGTACTAACTTAGAGACTGTAGAAGATATAGCATTTTCAAATATTTCCAGTCTTCGACAGCTTTACCTTCATGACAACAGATTAGTCGCGTTTCCTTCTAAACCAATGGCACCACTCACTTTACTCCAAGTTCTATTTATCAGCAACAATTTCATCAAGGAAATTAAATCAGGTATTTTTCTTTTTCCCATCTACATTTACAAATAGTTTATGATTCATGATATGAGTTACAGGGACTTCATTACAAGCTGTTCCCCCAACCAATACTGCCATCAAATTAACTGACTATGTAACGTTGTACTGTTTGTGGGATGTTGGTAGGACATATTTATTTTTCTTAATTGTTTGTTGGGTTGTGGGCATTCCTGGCAAGGCTAATATTTGTTGCCTTTCCTTAATTGCCCTGGAATTTAGTGGTTTACTAGACCTGTCAACCACATTGCTGAAAATCTGGAGTCACATGTAGGCACACCAGATAATGATGAAAGATTCTTTCCCCAAACTGCATTAATGAAATCGCAGCAGCTTCCATGGTGGAATTTGAACAGTTTCACTGCTAAATTTGCTGATGACCCCAAAATAAGTGAAAAGGACATAAAGAGTCAACAAATGGATATTCAAGAGGCAAATGACGTATAATAATGGGAAATGTGAACTTATCTGTTTTGTCAGCAAGAATAGGAAAAAAGATAAGTAGAAATTGCAGAACTTTATACAAAGGGATCTGGGTATCCTGAAACATCAATCACAAAAGGTTATTATACAGATACAACAAGTGATTAGGAAGGTGAGTGGAATTTTGACATTTATTGTAGGAGGAATGAATACAAAAGGGGATTGTTTGCCACTTACCACATTTGTATAGAGTGTTGGGAAGACTGCATCTAGAGTGCTGTGCACAGTTTGGGTCTCTTTATTTTATAAAGGATGCAAATGTGTTTGAAACAATTCAGAAATGATTCAATGGAATGATATCTGATTGTGTACTTTTTTGGGGGAGTGCGGGACATTATCTCAAGAGGAAAGATCGAACAAGCTGTTCCTTTATCCATTGGAGTCTAGAAGTATAAGAAGTGATCTTATTGGAAACATATAATGTCTTGACAGGCTGGATGCTTTTTCCCCTTGTGGGATAAATTAGGACAAGGGGACTCTGTTTACAAATAAAGTGATGCCCAATGAAGACACATTGTGAAGCAGTCTTTTCCTTGCAGTTTTGGGGGTTTTTTTCCCCAGAGAGTGGTGCAGTCAGGCCCACCAAATATTTTAAAGGCCAAAGGAGTGGGTAAGAATCAGGAGGAGATAGGGAAGTGGAGTTGAGGTTCATTGGATCAACCATGATCATATTGAATAGCGCAGCAAGCTCCAAGGGGCCAAATGACCTCTGCCGTCTTCTGGTTTGTAATAGTTTATATTTAATATATCAGTTATATGTCACCCATTCATTCGTGGTATATCAAAATTATGCTGTTTTTGTGATGAAAATAATGCAGGTTAGTAACATTTCTGCCTTTCATGTGGCAAAAATGTAAAGAATTAGCACCAGTACAGGGGGCTGAATAAAAACAGAAGTTGCTGGAAGTTCAGCAAGTCTGGCAGCATTTGTGAAGAAAGAAAATCAGAGTTAACATTTCAGGGCCGGTATTCCTTCCTGGCTTCTTTCCTGTGCTGTCATTTTTATGGCTCGCCTATTTTTCACCCAGATCAGCATGAATAATCAATTACTTCAGCTCTGTTGTGGCTTGGAACCTGAAAGTATAGAGCACTCACGTGCATCAGAGTGAATTTGACCAAGTCCCAAACAATTTTTGTACATTGTAAAAATAGCCATATATCCTAGGAAATGCAGACTTGAATCACAGCTCAAGAATTTGTACATGTGAATTGTTAATAATTCATTTGATCAGCTATGATTCTAAATATGATTTTAACAAGAACTTCTGAAGTACAGATTACTAAATATTAAAAATATAATTTGATTTATTTCCTGACATCATAGGAAGATGTTACTTTGCTGAGTAAGGCAGTACTAGGTCGCATAGAGAAATGATAAGTGGGGAAGATAACAAAGTCTGCTTCATTTTCTGCAGTTAGATGAGAGCCAGAGACCTTTACAATATGCACTGTTGGAATTCAAAGGTGCACACTAGAAGCACAAATTTGGAAGTCCTCTCTTTAAAAGATACATCACTAATATATAACAGAACTTTGTTTCAAGCTCACAGGCAATAGGGTAAACTTTGACCTGCACCAGCTGGATATGAAAACCATGTGGTTTCTCTGGTGAGTAGGTGAATCTGTCAGATTAATGCCTAACTATGAAGTCAAAAACCTGTCCAATGTTGTTTAAGATGTTGCATACTGATATTAAAGGAATATTTTGAAAACAGACTTTGTTTTTCAATAGGTGCATTTGAGCATTTGCAGGAGCTCAGGGAACTATACTTGGGACCCCAAGCACAGTTTCAGGATTTTCAGTATCAAGCATTAATCCCTCTGAGAAAAATTAAGGTAAGAATAAAGCTGAACAAGCGAACAGTGCTTTGAGAAGATGTTGAAGGCAGATATAGATGTTCAATGCCATTTGATTCCTCTTCCGCTTGTCATTTCCTAAACTACTCACTGTTTACTTCTTTCCAGCCAATCCTTCCTGCTATTTGGGTTTCAGTTTTAAAAGAATTTTATCAAAGGCCTTTTAGAAATCTAAAAGCATATCTTACAGATTTCCACACTGCACTTCTGCAGTGATTATTCAGGCAGAAACGTTTGTCTCCAGAGCCATGCAATCCACTGGACGATTCACATGCTTAAATCTGCTCTTGTTAATCTATCCCACTATTTCACCACATTTTGATGCAAAACTGTTGAGTCTTTAGGGATCTGGATTTTTTTTTTCTCCTAATAAAATGTAAGCACCATATTTCCAGTCCAAGGACACCTTCTGAACACTTGGTGACTCTCCTTGATGATTGTTAACAAATGTCAATCCAGTCCCTCACTGATCCACGATGGATACTTTTCTTCTGTCAGTGTAGTGAATCTGTAGGATTATTTACTTCAGAGGGTGTCAAAGCTGGGTTCATTAAATATACTCAAAGCTGACGTAGACAGGTCCTTAATCAGTAAGGGAATCTCAGGCTATAGGAAAAGGCGGAAAAGTGGAGTTGAGGATTATCAGGTCAGCCAGAGCAGACTCGGTGGGCTAAATGTCCTACATCTGCTCCTACGTCTTATGGTCTTATGGGGATATCAATCAAAGAAAAGTCACCCCCATGGTTGGAGCAGGAAGAATTAGCATGGGCCTCCCCTTTCAATCACAGGCTAGTTCTCTCTCATATTTGCAATTGATAGACTCACTGTTTGGCTACGAAGCAGGGAACACAGGAAGAAGTTCCATATGGCTGGAAGAGCAGTGAGAAGATTTGTGTTAACAATGAACAGGCCTGCCAAAGGAAGGGGGCTGCTAAGGCCCGAGGTGGCATGGGTGGAACAGAGGGGTTTGGAAGGACGTCTGGCTGCTAAGACCAGGAACTGCAATGTGAGGTTGGGGTTGAACCCCTGAGTGCACTTGGTGGTGGAGAGCAGAGGAGCTGGGCAGCAAAAGGGGAGTGAGATGGACTGCAGACCGTTGTGAACCCAGCTGGTGTTCATACTGAACAAGTTAGACCTTGGAGTGACACCTGACTTCATAAACCTAACTTCGTTTCTTTTAAATATGTAAATATGTTCTGCAACTGATCTCGAAGAGACTGCCAGTGTACTTTTAACAAAGAATAAAATGGTTATTAAACAAGTAAAACATGAACTTCATTGCACAAGTCAAGAAGATTAGAAATTGTTTCTGATGAAAGGTGAATCAGAGATAGTAGGAACTGCAGATGCTGGAGAATCCGAGACAACAAGGTGCAGGGCTGGATGAACACAGCAGGCCAAGCAGCATCATAGGAGCAGAAAGGCTGACGTTTCGGGCCTAGACCCTTCATCAGAAAAGGGGGAGGGGAAGGGGGTTCTGAAATAAATAGGGAGAGAGTGGGAAGCGGATAGAAGATGGATAGAGGAGAGGATAGGTGGAGAGGAAACAAACAGGTCGAAGAGGCGGGGATGGAGCCAGTAAAGGTGAGTGTAGGTGGGGAGTTAGGGAGGGGATAGGTCAGTCCAGGGAGGACGGACAGGTCAAGGGGGCGGGATAAGGTTAGTAGGTAGGAGATGGGGGTGCGGCTTGAGGTGGGAGGAGGGGATAGGTGGGAGAAAGAACCGGTTAGGGAGGCGGGGATGACCTAGACTGGTTTTGGGATGCAGTAGTGGGAGGGGAGATTTTGAAGCTTGTGAAATCCACATTGATACCATTGGGCTGCAGGGTTCCCAAGTGGAATATGAGTTGCTGTTCCTGCAACCTTCGGGTGGCATCGTTGTGGCACTGCAGGAGGCCCAGGATGGGCATGTCGTCTGAGGAATGGGAGGGGGAGTTGAAATGGTTCGCGTCTGGGAGGTGCAGTTGTTTATTGCGAACCGAGCGTAGGTGTTCTGCAAAACAGACCGCGAGCCTCCGCTTGGTTTCCCCAATGTAGAGGAGGCCACACCGAGTACAGCGGATGCAGTATACCACATTGGCAGATGTGCAGGTGAACATCTGCTTGATGTGGAAAGTCTTCTTG